AAAATCGGCTTCATCCTGCGACCGTGCTGGTCCCTTGTTTGAGTCGCTGATGTGAGTGATATCTCGGAAAGGGCTGATTCGCTGCCGTTTAGTCTGATTACTAGCTTGACCCTCATCGTTCTCCTACACGTCGATTAGTGCCATACACTTTAGATTTCATCAACCTTTCTGCTTACCAACAAACGCTTTTGTCGTGAAGATGACATCGATCGAAGCTCTTCGACTTCCACAGAAGCAGGTGACACTCTCGGAGTCTCGATCGGTATTAGCTCAACTGCTGCAATCGGCCACACGCGTGTAGCAGGGTCCATTTTTAAGAAAAGGACAACTTCCTCCGCATTTTCTTGCACTCCTAGCGCGTCATCTTGAAGCTCTCCAGCGGTACTACTGAAGTCCCGCGTATACTTGACAAGAAGACGAAGGGCATTAATTTTTGATGTGTCTGGTAAACACCGTTCGACATGCTCTGAAGTATTAGAGACAAGCAAGCGAATAACCGGTAAAAGTTTTCCATGAGTGGAATATTCGGTTCGTACTTTCCGAATAGCTGGGGCGTCCACATCGATAGAATTATCGAGAGCAATAATCGCAGCCGGGGGTTTATAGGGTTGTAGTATTCGGTCATCAGTCGCTGATCGTATCGTAAAGCTGAGTTGCCCTTTGCAGAGAGACAACTCAGCATCAGTCGGCCCATTTGTCGATGGTTGAGTATAAGCAAATTCTTTGCCTATAAAATAATTTTCCACTAGTTTGACAGCGTTTTCGGTTCCTCCAACTATAAGAATATGCAAATCATCATTAGCAGCTGCATCAATTAAGTAACCTAAAAATTGAAATTTCGAGCTCGAATATTCCGCCCATGCGGCCTCCTTGGCCGGGTTAGCACCGGCTGCGGCAGGTTGGTCATTGAGATCGGGATGAGTTGTAATGTTCTTCAAGCGATCAATCAACTTCCGCATCTTCGAGATTTGGTTATCGTACTATATTTGTGTGAGAACTGATGATATGTTATGTCAAATGTCACAAAGGGTCAACAAACCTCTAGATCAGAACTGCTCATATTCGCTCCTAGAGATGAGGATTCCCTCAAAAATTTCTCAATCGTTTTACTCTCAGCAGAAAGAGTAACATCATAATCATCCTTTACTCTAGAATCCATGGAGAGAGGAACAGCGAATTCCATGGGCCCGAGTTTAATGCCAACAGGTTGAGGTTCTGTAACCTTTTCAATGGAGGCGGCGGTCGGTCCTAAACCTCCCTCTGGCTCGACTATTGTCTCTGCTGAAACTTCCGGAAACCCTGCCTCTCCAGCAAGGATTGGTTGTGACCCCGAGAGGAATTCCCCGACAGTAGCTGGATTTTCCACATCGTAATGTAGAGCCTGCGGTGCAATAAACGTGCTGGGGCTTTCGGCCGCCGCCATGACATGTGGTGGATGAGTCTGAGGCTCTTTGTCGACACGGATATTAAGGGGTGATACTCCATCTCTAGCAGGAGCAGGTTGTGATGGCTCAATGTCACCAGCAGAGGAAGGTGTTACACTTGTACTGACGCTCTGTTGCTCTCCGATGAGAGAGCGTTCATGTGCACGAATAAATCTCATTTTCTCACGAAAATTCGTCCCTGGATTATTACGGCGCGCTTCCTCCATGGTAATGAGCGGTTTTGGTGTCTCGCGAGAAGCCGCGGATTCATCCATGCTGATGGAGTTTCGTGGAATATTCGCGGATTGTTGTGCTACACCGTTGATAGACGACTGTGTAGAGGTGGACACGGATATGCTATTCGGATTCCTAGAAAGTCGAAAGTTCTTTTGCCAGATGGTTGGATCCGGGGATTGAGTGTAAACAGGGAGACTCTTCACGGTGCTGCTTAAACTAACGTCTCACTGGCGAATAGGTGTCTTATATACTGGAGGCCTTGTATTAGTGATAGGAGTATAAATGGGCCGGCCGTCGGAAAGTATTTACCGAATTGTGAGGATTGCGAAGGGGAACGATGAATTGAAACGCGAGATAGAGTGGTATGACAATGGGGTGGGTGAGAATGGCTACTGCTCTCGCTATGATACAATGAGAAGCGTGCTGGAGGAGTTTTAGCGATCTCAATCACTGTTCCGCTGTTGCATGAACTTGATTTTGCCTTCCCTGGATCGAAATCTGCCTCCCCGCATGCAGGATAACCGTGTGTACCCTGGAATTGAATTATGCCTAAGGAATATTTTGCGGTAGAGCCAATCTGTAAAGGATTTGCAGATAGGCTTGAGGATGAACTATTGTGCGACACTGGCAGTTTATCGTGGCGTGCCAGATGTCGAAGTTGGTGCAATCGTTCAATAGCGGGTTTTGCGTGGAATGAATTGACAGGAGCAATGA